AAATGCGTCCCCGCGACTGATTTCGGCACACCCTTCGCACGGTTCGTGGCCCCATAGAGAGCTCCACCGAAAACTCAAAGGCAGGGTTCACAAGCGTCCCTGCGATTGATTTCGGCACACCCTTCGCACGGTTCGTGGCCCAATAGGGGAGGCGCATCGAAGGCCCAAGTGGCAGGATTTTCATGCGTCCCCGCGCTTCATGTCGGCACGCCACTCACACGGTCCGTGGCCACATAGGGAGCCCCACCGGAGGCCCCAGTGGCAGGGTTTACATGCGTCTGCGCAGATCAGGTCGGCACACTTGTCACACGGCTCGTAGCCCCTATAAGGATTTGAAAGGAATATGAAGGAATGCTTCGGCGTCTGGGAAACAATCGGGGAACAATTCGGAATCTGAAGGAGAGCTCTGGCGGCTGGGAAATGCTCCACTTCCAGTGGAATCCTAATGGGGAGCAATTCGCCTCAGTCGTCATGAATATATGATGTATACATTTGTTTCGCGCGCGTTCCCAAGCCCGAGCCCGAACCAGAACCCTTACACCCTTTGCACCCTCTTTAAGCGGAACAAGAACCCCAGACAACCCTAGTAGTAGTAGTAGTAGTAGTAGTAGTAGTAGTAGTAGTAGTAGTAGTAGTAGTAGTAGTAGTAGTAGTAGTAGTAGTAGTAGTAGTAGTCGGCGTCGCCGTCGTCGTCGTCGTCATCGTCGTCGCCGTCGTAGTAGTAGTAGTAGTAGTAGTAGTAGTAGTAGTAGTAGTAGTAGTAGTAGTAGTAGTAGTAGTAGTAGTAGTAGTAGTAGTAGTAGTAGTAGTAGTAGTAGTAGTAAGTAGTAGTAGTAGTAGTAGTAGTAGTAGTAGTAGTAGTAGTAGTCGTCGGCGTCGCCGTCGTCGTCGTCGTCATCGTCGTCGCCGTCGTAGTAGTAGTAGTAGTAGTAGTAGTAGTAGTAGGAGTAGTAGTAGTAGGAGTAGTAGTAGTAGTAGTGGTAGTAGTAGTAGTAGTACTAGTATTAGTACTAGTACTCGTAGTAGTAGTAGTAGTACTACTACTACTACTACTACTTTTACTACTACTACTACTAATCCCACGACTACTGCTAATACGATTACTATGGCTACTACAACTACTCATACTACAAGTACTACTACTACTGCCGCTGCTGCTGCTACTACGACTACGACTACGACTACTACGACTACTACGACTACGACTGCTACTACTTTTATACCAGTTGTTACTATTGCTACGGCGACTACTACTATTACGACGGCGACGACGATACTTCTTTTGCCACTTTATTGTTTTCTTCTACCATCACTATCACTACCACTACTACTACTACTACTACTACTACTACTACTACTACTACTACTACGACTACTACTACTACTACGACGACTACTACTACTACTACGACTACCATCATTACTATTACTACTACTACTACTACTACTACTACTACAACTACTACCACTGCGGATACCACTGCTACTACTGCTGCTGCTACTACTACTACTACTACTACTACTACTACTAGTGCTACTACTATTACTACCACTACCACCGCTACTACTACTACTACTACTACTACTACTACTACTACTACTGCTACTGCTACTGCTACTACTACTTCTACTATTACTACTACAACTACTACTGCTGCTACTACTACTACTCCTATTACTACCTCTACTACTCCTACTACTCCTGCTACTACTACTACTACTACGACTTCTGCGATTACTACTACTACTACTACTACTACTACTACTACTACTACTACTACTAACTACTTACCTACTACTACACTACGACACGAACTACAACTACTACTACTACAACCCTACTACTACTACTACTACTTACTACGACTACTACTACTAACTATACTACTAAGCAGTAGTAGTAGTATAGTAGTAAGTAGTAGTAGTAGTAGTAGTAAGTAGTGGTAGTAGTAGGTAGTAGTAGTAGTAGTAGTAGTAGTAGTAGTGGTAGTAGTGTAGTAGTAGTAGTAGTAGTAGTAGTAGTAGTAGTAGTAGTAGTAGTAGTGGTAGTGCTACTAGTAGTAGTAGTAGTAGTAGTAGTAGTAGTAGTAGTAGTA